ACCCTAACATAGTAGATAAGGCAATTTTTTTTCCTACGGTAGGAAGAGATGCCATGGTTGTTATTTCTTCGACTTCGTGAACATAAAGAAAATGATATCGACTTACCCGATATCCTATGCATTCGACTCAAATCGGAAGGTTCTTACTTGAGATTCCAATAACTATAATCGCACTTTAAAGTGGTTGTGACCAATATTCTGGGTCGGAAATCAACTATAATTTTGCATAGAGAGCAGAGCAAATCTCGGAGAACATATGCGCTTCTTCTTTGGAGGAGGTACAAAGAGGTGTAAAAGTTGAGATTAGGCAAACAATTCAACTAGAAGACGGAGCGCATGAGTAAACTTGTGCACAGTGCAATTTCACAAAATTGCAGATGGACTAAATAATTGGATAGAATATGGATTTTCAATTCGAATAGATATATTTTACAGATGCTAGGAAAGGAAAAGCTCTTAACGGTTGATTGCAATTGCATCTCTCCACCGTTTCTACGCCTATCAAAACCACACTTAGAAATTAGAACACGCGAAAACGGAGTCTGTGAAACAAGAATAAAAACACCAATGTAAGCATAAACAGTATGACGAAGATCTAAAACTGACGCAGAAGAAACTGTTCGAATTAGATGCCTTAACAAAAAACCGCTAGCGATATGAAGATGCTACTATGAAGACCTTTCCTATCTACAATTTGCTTTGATTTATGTAGCATCAGCAAGGCAAAAAATGAAACTTCAAATTATTGCTTGCGAGCAACCTAAGAAAATTCTGCGAGAAAAAGAAGCAAGTATGCTTCTTTCCTTTAGTTTTCTTTGAATTAAAGGCTTAACTTGAAGTTTGAGACTGAATATCAAATTTTGGTCGTAACTCAAAACCATCGATATGCTTTTTATATGAGCTTAAATCTGCTACACATTTTTCCGTGTTATTTCGGTCTCTTTTCTTGGCAACTGGCTTCACCTTCGTACATTTTAGTATTTTTTTGCCTCAGTATTTTCGCTTTTAAAAAGTTTTTGCACAGCAATTTATACGTCCGTAAACGAAAGCTTTCAGAACAGATTGAAAATGCAAAACTCAGGAAGTAGTGTTGCAGTAAATCGAAAAAGCATTCGTATTGGCTAGACTGAATTGAAGCTGCCGCTATGTGATAAAGTACTTATGCCTACTAACTTATCTGATCTCTAACACAATTTCATATGTCATTTTTTGGGCCTCTTTGTGATCAGTCTTTACATATGCAGTCTAAACATGATAATGCTTTCATGCTTAGACGGCATATGTAAAGACTGATCGCATTCATGCGTTCAGAGTGTTAGGAGGAAAGAAGATCTCGTCAAAGGATTTTTATTTTCACGATAAAACGTTTCAGAATCATGTATCATTCTATTTTTACTCTATAAATGAAACTGTATTGAGCGCCTTCGTCAATATGTACCACTGACCATTGAGCTGCAGTTCCCCCTTATCATTTGGGAGACTTCTAGGTAAACTAATCAGCACCTTTACTCATTATATGTTTCGAAGATTTCGAATAATAGCAGGCCTCGGCGGCAGGTCTCCGGAAGGCAAGCTAGAATTCGTTTTTGTGGAAAAAGCAAAGGGGAA